GATACAGTAAAAATGAGCAGATAGCAAACAAAAAATTAAACAGCAAAAGGCCTCACTCAGTGGTTTCTGATAGGACTTTGCTGCTAGAAAGTTCACCAGGCAAGCTACCACTGGAAAGGAGCAACACTGTACATAGTTGACACACAGGCCCTGACACTGATCCGGAAGGGAAATCAGAAAGTAGGTTGGCTCCTTTAATGCTGCAACATATCCTCTCATCCCACTTGCCAAGAATTAGTTGCCAGTTAGCACCATGTGGCAGGTGAAACCCATGCTGGTCAGTCTTGACCTCTAGTCTCACATCTTTAGAGATAGCCTCTAAAAATAAAAAAATTTTAAAAAAATGACTGTATTTGGAACCTTTGTTGCTTACTGTGTATAGAACAATCTTTCTCTTTATTCTGCAAGTTAATCTTATTAAAATTGCTCATAAATAAGTTAGTTGTTAAGTAACATAACAGAAGGAAGCAGAATGCAACACATACTTGGAGTCCTAGGATTATAATTTTCTTTTTGTTATATAGCTACCTCCAGAACTCAGGAAGTAAAGCCTTAATTAGTAAGCTTTTTAAGGATCTTCTATTTATTATTTTTAGTTAACTGACAAGGACTTAGAATGATTTGATTAGAATATATTTCAAACGTATTTCTTTCTTTCTTGCCTTACTATATCTGACATAATTTAATCTTTCTCTGGTGATTGCCTATCTGCTGTGTCCCCAGGTCCTGACAATAGGCATCAATCCTAACTGAATATTACATAACAGTCTCCTCTGAAGGAGATTAAAAAGGCTGAAACACATGTTCAGTCCAAGTGATTATTCCAAATAATAACTAATAAAAAGCTTCTTCTGGGTGGGGGAGGGAGGGCTATACTTGCTTTATTATCTTGAAATTCAAACGTAAAAAATACATTTCTGTCAAACTGGAGGTCTGGTTACTCAAATCCCCATCTATCTGCATCTGACTTCCATTGGATCTGCTCCAGCTGAACATCTATCTGCCTGCCCTCTTTATTACTATCTGAATCTCAGTAATTCATTTCTATTCCAGAAGATTTCCTATTCATTCTATCCCAGAAGACTTTCTGAGTCCTGTTTATAACAAGACAAATTTAAAATCTTAAAAATGTTTATGTGCATGAAAAACCAACATTTAATTTAGTAAAATAAAAGTAATTTAAAAAATGGTCTGTTTAGTCCAAGATTATATACTGTTAATGTCTAACCTGTAGGCTGGACATTCATCTGAAGTTTTTAGGTTATCTTTCTGCTCTTCTATCAGTCTTGCCCTTCCACCACTGTTAAGAGTTCTTATTTCTCCAAACACCTCTCTGGTTGACACTCTACTGTGATAAGAGGGAAGATATAAAGTCAAACAGATCTGGGCTCAGGTGATATTCAGGAAGTTTCTTGACTTCTCTGAGTAGGTAAGTGTCTGTGTGTGTGCGCGGGGTGGGGGGCATACTGCCTACTCACAGGGCTGCTGGGAAGATTAATGGAAAAGATGTATGTTAAGAATCTGCCATACAGCTTAGCACACCGACAGGTGTTTAACAACCATTCCTTTTCTCTCTTTCCCCCTTCCATGGAGGTCCCGGGCCCCCCACACCCACAACACTTGCGTGGTGTAGCAGTGTGTTTGCAAGCTTTGAGGAAACGGTATGTGCTTTGGTGTCAGGTGACCTGGCTGTGTCCTAAATGGGCTGTGAATCCTCAGCAGACTTAACCTCTCCATCTTAACTTTCCCATATGTGAAGAGGGACGATACTTACTTTCAGGGCTGTAAAAATTAACGAGACCCCCGGGCCCACCACGAGGCTCAATAAATGGTAGAAAGCATTTTTTGGCACTCTCCTTATTCCCTACACAAATGTGGGAAACTGGATTTCTGTGTCTCCAGGGCTTTGCTTACCCAGCACCAACAGGGACAGTAAACTGTGTCAACTTCGTGACAGTGGTCCTGGGGTGCAAAGTCTGACTCACCTGCTGGCTTCAGAGGTTTTTTTTTTTTTTTTTTTTTTTTTTTTTTAACAATCACACCTCTTGGGGGCCCTCAGGTAGGCCAGGCTTGTTGGTATGGTTTTTAGGGTACAAGCTTCCTTTGGAAGAGGTAATCCTCAGTGTTTCTGGGACTTACAGAGATAACAGTTTTCTGAGATTTTTTTTTTTTTAGAGAGCGAGAGTGAGCAGGGGAGGGACAGAAGGAGACAGGTGGGGGAGAGAGAATGCGAGTCTCAAGAGGCCTGCTCGCGTGAAGCCTACAGCGGTGCTCAATCCAGCAACCATGAGACCATGACCTGAGCCGAAATCAAGACCAGATGACTATTTTGAATCAATGACACTGGCACCGACTAGGCAAGCCCCAAAGAAGTGACAGATTTGAGTGAGCTTGAGCACCATCCAGGTCAGAAGGGATTAACAACTGAGGACCTGAAATGGAACTTCCTTCTTTTTTCTTCCCACTCTTTTTAAAGACTTTATTTTTAAGTAATCTCTGCACACAACGTGGGGCTCAAAGTCACAACCCCGAGATCAAGAGTCACATGTTCCACTGACTGAGCCAGCCAGGCTCAGATTTAATGCCCTTCAAGTTACCATCACATTAGGTAAAATGAGCCTTAAAAAAAAAAAAAAAAAAGGAAAGAAAGAAAGAACAAACCCAAACCCTCCATTATAATAATGGGAAATAAAATCTTGTGATTTGGTTTTAAAGCAAAGTACAGGGAATTTCACTACTTGAGAACACAATGAAAATAATTTATTTAAGATTTCCAACATTTAAAAAACTGGAAATCCTAGATGACTAGCA